AGACACTGGCTGACGGGCTCTCTCTCTCTCTCCCTCTCTCTCTCTCTCTCTCTCTCTCTCCCAACGTTGAAATCAGAATGAATCTTCCGCGCGCGGAAGATTCATTCTGATTTCAACGTTGAGAGAGAGAGAGAGAGAGAGAGAGAGAGAGAGAGAGAGAGAGAGAGTCCCATTGAATCCCGTTGAATTCGAGTTGAATTCGAGTTGAATTAGAGTTGAATCCCATCAATTTTATTTATTTATTTATTTTATTATTATTATTATTTTATTTTTATTTTTTTGGAAACCTCTAACCACGAAGTCCAGGGGTCTGGTCCCACCTACCGTGATTGAGTTCAGAAAACTCAACGGTGTGACGCCATTTCGACATTAATCAATATATATATATATATATATATATATATATATAGATAGATAGATAGATAGATAGATAGAGAGAGAGAGAGAGAGAGAGAGAGAGAGAGAGAGAGAGAGAGAGAAAGAGGGCATCAGACAGTGTAATGTCGAAATGGCGTTGAGTTTTCTGAACTCAATAACGGTAGGTGGGACCAGACCCCTGGACTTCGTGGTTAGAGGTTTCCAAAAAAATAAAAATAAAATAATAATAATAATAAAATAAATAAATAAATAAAATTGATGGGATTCAACTCGAATTCAACTCGAATTCAACTCGAATTCAATGGGATTCAACGGGAATTCAATGGGAATTCAACGGGATTCAACGGGATGGATTTTTTTTTTTGCTCCACGCGCACTCAGCGACGTGTCCGAGGCCCGATGCGCCCTCCCCGTTGAACAGTATTCAACGGGGAGGGCCCGTTGTACTATTCAACGGGGATTCAACTAGGGCCCGAGGGCTATTCAACGGGTACAACGGAGTTGAAACTTTTCCGTTGCACGATGAATGGACACATAGCACACACACACACACACACACACACACAAAAAAAAAAAAAAAAAAAAAAAAAAAAAAAAAAGTGTGGCAGTGTATATTTCCATGCTCTAGCGGTAGATTCATTCGATTTTGCTCATCCTATAGATGCACACACAGACGAACAAACTCGCAGGGAAGAGAATGACATGAACACAAAGCAGAGGAACAGCTACGAGCCTACGAGTGAGAACGAGACGAGACGGCAAATATCCAATCAGTGGGACAGGAGGTTGGTCTTCACAAGTGGTGTAAGCAGCCGGAGACGAGTGTCGCCTTCATGAACGGTGCAAGCAGCCGGAGACGAGTGTTGTCTACACTCCAGCAGCTTCTCCGTGTCGGCACGTCAAGAAAAATAGCCGCACGAATTCAAATTTCAAGCACCTCATGGCTGCAGGGGCAGTACAGGAAGATGGCTGCGCCTTATGAGGGCATATGGCACAGAGCCCAATGGAATGGGACCGCGAGTTGAGGGAGGGTGGCCTGGAAAGTTGCACCCACTACTGACGGGGGCCTGCCGAAAAGATTTTTTAGGCCCAGGGGCTCTGACAGGGTAAATAGGCCTTTGGAGGGGCCTGACGCAAAATAATGGAAAATACAGGGGTGCCAGACAAAGTGTCCCCCCCAAAAAAGGCAAAAAAAAAGGCTCAGGCCAGAGGCCCATGGGGCCATTGTTTTTTTGAGAGTCAGGACAGACGCCTCTGCAGAGGACAAACTGGTTGCAGACCCCAGCAAAGAGTACTTTTTTTTTTTCCGTTTGTTCTATTCGGAGGCCTTGTGGCTAAATTTTCCTCGAGGGTTGCAGACAATCAGAGCAGTGCTTTTGTTTTGGCCAAACCTGTGTCTAGACCATATTCCCAAGAATCCCAACACCTGTACCAAAGCTGGGTAATGGTCCCAGGTCCTTTTGCTTTTCTGTTTTATTTTTTCATTTTTTTTTTCAAGGAAACTTTGCTCATTTTATTACCACTCAAAAAGAAAGAGGCCCGAAATTCCTCCACAAACAACCCGAAAACAAATTTGGTGTTGAGAAGCAATAAAAACTCTGGTTGGGGTATTTGTTTTGGTTTGTTTCAATCCAGTCAGGCCTGAGTTTCACACTTCAAACTCACTGTCAGTTGAAACTCAGGCAGGTGAGTTTGCCCCGACAGTGCCCTACCCCGTTCACCGTTCACGGGCTCGGTGAATGTGGGCCTGTCAGAGCAGGATCGTTTCTTTTTTTTATTTTTTTGGGGCTGGAGGGGGTGTCTTTGTCTTTGTATAGGAGGGTGGGGGTCATCAAAGGGTCTCGGGGTAACCCCTCATAATGTTTTCATTTGTTTTTCACGAATAATATTTTTTTTTAATGAAAAATGGAAAAAAAGTGTAACAAGCCAAAATGAGCATTTTTGTTTGTTGTTTTGAAGGGTATCTCGATTTTTTTTTTTTTGTCTTTCTGATGTCATCACCCTGTGGGGCTTGAGGCGACTGTACCTGGGTGAGAGGGAAAAAAAAAACCAAAGAAAAAACCACCTCTCTGTCATGGTCTGGCCGTTCACCGGCTCAAGGCGAAATGACCGGCCGGTCACGTTCAGGGTGACGGCACTGGCCTCACTTCACTACTCAACATTGTACATGCACT